AAGGACTTCATCTCCTAACGCAGAAATAATTTGTTCTTGTGATCTATGTGCTAAATGATGCACAATTCTGTTTATATGATACATTAGAACAGAGTCGTATTTACTTAAAACTACGACTATATGCAAATATACATATAATTTTATATGGCCGACGGCCACAGTATTATTTTCATTTCTTAACGCGGGCTATATGGTGTTGAGATTTTTTTTTTAAAGTCGAATTTAGGTGGGGATCCTCGGGAGTTTCCCGAATGAAATAACAAAAACTAAACATTCGCATCACCGAGAATTATTTTGAAGATTGTCTAAATTCAGAGATTACAATAATAATGTTTACGATAAAATGTACTTTTCGTCATACTGACAACGATAGGAATATTATCGAGTTTTCTTGTGCATTCTTGACAATGTTAGGGCCCCCTCAATCGCGGGGCCCCGGTGCACAGCATCCGCCGCACCCCCCGATGGCCGGCCCTGCATTTCGGGCAGACCTCGTCCTTTTTCTTTGTACACTGGCTCAATCACGACTCACGAACAGTAAAGCTCCTGTCGTGACAGGAAACGGTTAAAGATAGAAGGAAGAAGAATTACAGGAAAGAAGAAAAGAGTTTCTATTCTATACACAATTATACAAAACAAACATGGCGGACATCCACAAAGGTCTTTTTTAGTAAGCCCATTTTAGGTTCGTCCAGCCCACAATGGAGCGGCGGATGATGAGGGACAGCGCTCGACACATCCGAAAAATTCCTGGGGATTTTGGTCCGTCCGGATTATATTTCGGATTCCCTAAAGTGGTAGGCTGCCGCCGGGACGTCGGGTCACCCTAGTTATAAAGCACCATTATCACATCTATTTTCACTGTAAGATAAATTTAAATATGTAACCAGAATAATTCAATTTCTCTGGTTATATATTCAAAAAATTACAATATTTTTTTTTCGGACGAAGAAACATTGGTATGTAATTTGCGACTCATACTATTAATAATACTAGTCAAGAAATAATTTCTGTTAAAAATAAAAACTTTATTATTTCCTGCTATATTTTCATTTCTTTAATGGCGTTTACGATTTCCAATGATTTATTTCCTTCTTTAGTGATTTTTAGAAATTCCAAGTAAAGATTAGTTCATCGAATTAATATAACGGAGTAAATTATCGCTGTACCTCTGCTTTGTAAAGCTTCTGGTAATAAAATTAATACGTATAATACATTAGAGCTAAATTTAATAGAAACTGTTTAGACGATGAAATGAAAGCAGATTGTTCGACCGACTTTTTGTAATTTTCATTTGCAGCAGGATGTTGAAAATGATTGCTTAGACTCAAAACTTGCCAAAGAACAGACACCGATCTAAACGAAGCAGGTACTGTACAGTACATACAGTACAGTACATATCCTTATTATCATAATCCAAAAAGTGTGAACAGCAGGCAACAGTAGAGTAGAATCTTATAAACTATCCATTCGGCAACTTTCTCCACACCTTTCTGTCAAGACATACCTCATTTGCTTCAAATACACTCATGCCTCTTCCTCACAACACCTGACTCAACACTTTATGTTCTTTCAGACATTCATCCACTTATTCCAACCAAGACTTTCTCGGCCTTTCTCTACTGTGCTTCCCATTCACCCTTTCCACGTATACTCTCTTCAACAGTTCTTCTCCTTTCATTCTCTCAACATGGCTGAACCATCGTAGAGCAGCTACCCATCTTATTCGCAATATTTATCCAATCTTTCTAAATTCTGCTCTTAAATCCCCTATACACGATTCAGAATCTCTTTAGTTTTTTGGAAATTGGTGATATAGAGAGTAGGCCTATAGTTTATCCATAAATATTTGAAAATGGTTAATGCCGTTCACTTCTGCTAATGCATCGCAGACAGATAACTCGATGCGATGATTTACACAGCGTTACATAATTAGATTTGGATATTTATTTATTAATTAATAATTGTTTAGAAACATCTGACTTTAATTAAATCACGTTAAAAAACGAACGAGGAAACTGAGAGATTCCCCCGAAGAAAAATGTCTGAAGTCACTCATATTTACGAACTGAACCACTCAAAACTTAACCCTCCATCCAATTATTTACGCATTTTCTACCACGACAGAAAGAAATATAAGAAATTAAAAATAAAATTCAAATATGTTTTTCCTATTAAAAAAAATATACTTCACGTTTAATATAATAAAAAAAAATGGGAGAAAATTTAAAAAATTTTAATAACAGTTTCATATGTCGGACGTCAGATGTCACTGTAATTCGTTCAATTGATCATGTCAAAATGGCTACTGCTAACTTCGTTTTGTCTGACGATCCGTCGACGGGAGATGTCAGCGATTCACTTTTCAGTAATTTTTACGCCGAGGTAAGTATATGTATTTTTGACGAGTCTGCGTAATTTACTGGTGAAATGAAAACGTTGTTTTCCCTTTCTTATTCGAACATACAGCATCAGATTCAGTCAGCATCACCTGCATTATACTCGTGTTGACGGTTGTGATTCAAACGAGATGTCAGTGTTAAGGACGGAATTATAGTTATTTTAAATATTATTTACACGTAATGTCAGTTGATTGCCTTATTAAACGTATAAAACAGTAAATACTGGCTTAGTATGTTATTTGTATGTTTTTATTGGTTTGGAAGGGAAATATTATTCTGTATGCAGATGTTGAAAAGAAAGCTTTTCTAGAATTACATGTAAAATCATTTGTAATTAAATAAGTACACGGGTTCTGTACAATCCTATCGGTGCAATTACACCTCTGTATGAGACGATTGGAATCATATCACGGCCGTAGACCGTACCCTTAGGAGTAAAAAAGTCGAAGGAACCGTACCTCTGTGTGTGACCCTTTGCAAGATACGATCCCTCAAAATTGTCCTGCTTCTGGGATGCACGTGATTGGGAGTTTTGTCGTTCTGCCGAGACTGTATTTAATTATTTAGCCAGCACTACTATGCTGGCACGTGATTGTTCGTGGAGTAAATGATGTTATATAGTTTTAGGGGGTGTGAGCTATTGCCTATGCCAAATTGATGACTATGCATGGAGCATTGGTCGAGACAAGTGATAGAGAGCCTTGACCGATTCGGAGCAGGGAGAGTAGCAGTAGTTCTGGGACCATATTCTGGTCACTGTCTCTCGTCTCTTGCAAGCCGGTCGCTGATTGGCTAATCATTTGGATTAGCCAATCAGTGAACGGCTTACAAGAGACCAGAGACAGTGACCAGAATACAGCCCCTGGTAAACGGTAAAAACTGGCCTTTGGAGGCAAATATCTCGGATAGGTTCGGATGTATGGATCTGTTAACTTTTTTACTCCTACGGGAGGGATCTACAATTTGGTGGGGTGGAAAATCCCTCGTTGAGTTTACATCTTACCCAGAAAAGTTCAGTAAGTGAACTTATAATGTTTCTAATGTAACTGACAAGTTGTAATATATTAATACACCAGATGGCTATGGTTCGGGACCAGTCTACCACTCTGGGACGTAGGTTTGAAACCAGGCAGTCGAGAAAACTTCAGGAATTTTCCAGGGTGATCTGTTCTGGATATACTGAGTTACAGTCTTTACTACCCAGCCTCTCCATTATGGGCCTGGTATGATTAAAAAGGTACACTTCATATATAAATCTTTATGTATGTACTGTACAGTACCCAATATATGTTAATCATATAGCCATATTCTTATTGGGCTAAAATATGGTTGCTTAAATATAAAATAGACATATTATAACTTGATAAGAATCTGATTGTATCATTTAATTAAAATATTTTTAGTTTAATTTTTAAAATTCCTTTCTATAACATTTAAAGAAGTCATAGACAGCTAGCATTTTATTTATTCTTAGAAATATCTACCCATTGGCAGAAACCATTCACCAAATTTACTGTTTGTCACATTTAACATAAACACATGCAGAGCATCATCTGTTACTGTGTAATGTAATGAAAATGAATATGCTTTTAACCACATGCTGCAAGTAATACTGTATATGGAAACGCACCTATTTTCACTGTATCGCAAACAGTGAAAATATTGGAATGAAAGTTTTAAGCTGCAACCTTAAAACTTTCATCTCCAAATATCAAGATGAAAGTTTTAAGGTTGCAGCTAGAGTATCTTGGATTCATTAAATGACTTACGATTAATGTGTAAAGACATTTCTAAAAGAATTTACTAAAAATAGAATAAAATTTGGAAGTAGACAAGAAATATGTAAGAGGTATATAATATACAATAGTGGGAAAATAAAGGTAGATAACACATTATATATTTAAAAACAAAAGATTTTAATGTAAAAATGCATAGAAATGGTAATATTTTGACTACTCAACCCAAAGGCTTAATTTTCAATTTCCTAAAGCATTTGTTTTTTTCTTTTTTACATTTTACGAAGAAGTAAGGTTCAAATTTTTTGTTGATACCATCATTGCAAAATTGAAACATTGATAAATTGTTTAAAAATATTTGGTAGTGTTTAACTTATCAAAATGATACTTTATTCACAGATAATATCATTCATTTTCTAAAGATGAATGATACTATTTTTATAAAGCCCAATTAAAGTCTATTTATATCATTTGTTTATTACTACATGTCAGGCTTGGTTTATACATAAGGGCTGCTTAACAACATTCTGCTAAATGTCAGAGATCCCATAAGATTATAATGGAACTGCAAAGCTATCTATACTTTTTTATGATTAGACAAGTATTTATTTATCTAATATATCATTGTGTTATGTATAGCTTACACGAGTAATGGACTATAGTATATAAGTTTGTCTAAGTACACTCAAGATATTTGCTTAATGATGAAGCCACTTATCATTATTAAGTAGCTCATATGTGTATAATATACCATGTTGGGTAAAAGCTTAAAGTTTACTGAGTGCCATGGAGGGTCATGATTGGCATGATAATTGGTTATATCATCTAAATTAATTTGTCTGGAAGCAAAGATCAGACAGAGGTCTAGGTAGTGTAACTGGCAATGCATCTACATGGTAAGCAGGAGTCATGGTTTCAAGTCCTGCCCTTCCAAAATGTTCTAAATTAATTAATTAATTTCTGATTATTAAACTTAATTCAGTATGAACACAAAATGTAATCTATTTAGATAATACAAATGAAATCATCAAAAATGCATTATTAGTAAGTACCATTAAATTCGTCATGTAAAAAATAATCAAATATCACAATGATACATTGTTATAAGTAAATAGATAAATTAAATTATACTTTATAACAAATCAACTAAGTAATGTTCGAGGCAATGTTCAAATAGCCCTGAACATTATGGAAATAACTAACAACTAATATCAGGATTAGTTTGAAATTATAAAGGTTTGAGAGGGTGCTATATCAGGATTTGACTGTATTTAATTCTATTAATTAAATCACTAATCTGAATATTAAAAAGATTGTTTATTTCTGCCTCAACCATCTCTTTTATGAGAATTTCTTCTCTTAAAAGACTCTTAGGAGTAGTAACTGAGACAGAAATAAAAGATATTAATAAAATTGGTATAATTGTTTATTCTTTAATGCATTACTTGACATTTGAGAACTTTGTTAAATATTTTTTAAATAAAAATATTAACGTTAAAAAGTATTTAATAGTATTATATTAAATACTTTTTAATGTTAAATATAAATTTTTACAGATGTTTTCCTTTTTAATATATATGTATGTCTTAATGTTCAAAAAAAGACGTTGCCAAGTTGAATGAAGCAATTAATAATCCATTAGTTATATAATAATAATTAGTCAAAAATGGATTATAAACAGAAGCTGTTTATTAAATTCTACTTAGATTAATTATATGATTTTATGTTATTTTTAGTGTTTGCTCTTATGTATTAGATTTTTAAAAATTAATCGTTTAGATTTGATCAAATCCAGATTATTTTATAAATAAAATTTAAATCCTTTTCTTTTTGAATTGTGAAAATAATTTCATTCTACAACTTTATTATACATTTTATGATTTATTTTCTACTTAAATTTTAAAAAATTATACAGTTTCAAAGACTAATTTTAGTCAACTTTGAATGAATTGTCATTAGCTTTGTATATTATTTAGATTGCATTTATATGTATATATATATAAATGCAATCTAAAAGGAATGCATAAGGAATTTCAGATAGTTCAATGTATTTTTAATATTAATGTAGGGATCTTTAATATTCTATAGTTGGAGAAGTCTATTGTATTACATAAATGACTGATACTAGTCAGTATTTTGAAAATTGGCAAACTCTGTTCTTGTATGTGGCAGTTTTCAACCTTTTTCTGTAAGTGTATGACCATTAGGAGGAGGAGGAGACTATTCCAATAACATATTTTTAAAGTATTTTGAGAGTTGTATACATCACATACTGTATTCTGGGTGGTGCCAGACAAGCACAACAGTTACATATTTTGTTCAGAAAGTTAGAGATTCAGATTGTTCTTTTTGCTATTTGAATTAACTGGTATTTCAGATAGCTAGAGTTCAAATTAGTGACACTAGGAGTGTTATAACACTCCTATTAAAAACACTAGGAGGGATTGATGATAATATGTACCATATAAACATAAATACACTGTTTAATTGATGTGCATAAAAGTTCAAACTTAAAAAAATAATAATAATAATGCTTGTTTCCTCTAGTGTTTAATTGAAACACTAGAGGAAGCAAGCTAGGATCATACAATTTTTTCCTAAAAATTGCTTTTTAAAAATGGATGCATCTTAAATTCAAACTAATACTGTATAATAGAACTTATATGAAACTGTCTGCTTAATTATTTTCTCTAGTGTTTAATTGAAACACTAGAGAAAATAATTAAGCACCAAAACTGAAAACAGCACTTTACAAAGAAGCAGCGTATAAATAGGTCATGTTGGGTCACAGGTGGGATCTACAATTTGTTCCTTGAAAGGATCACTCGTTAACTTCCTCTGTGGATAGATGGCCATCACATAATGCCTAAAAAGGAGGACACTGTTCTGTGGGAGGTAATCCCCCTTTCGACCCCCTGTGCTTTCCATTTTTTTACACATACATGTATAGATTAAAAAAAAACAGAAAAATAAATTTGGCACTGTATATGAGACCTTCAAGCGAGCTGGAAAAGATGCGGGCATCAGCACTCAGTCAAAGCAACTTGCAAAGAAAACGTCTCTTCTAGGGGGTCAGCAACAGTCTGCTTCTAAATTTTAATAACTCCAACTTCCTCTACCTCGCCAGCCACACATGCAACTTCTGTCCAGTTAAAAGTAGAATTCTGCCAAAGTTCAAAGATGATTGGTTAGACTTTTCATCCCTGCAGTGCCCTCGTCCAATAAACATTTGTGACCATTTGTAAACACTTGTGAAATTCTTTGGCCATTTTCTTCATTAAGAGACCAAAGTGCCACTAGGTCAAAGTGGTGTGGGCCATTTGGAAATGTTAATCAGTTTCCTCAATTCCTTCAAAGTGACAACTGAACTATTTTTGTACGCATTTTTCATCACAGTAGAGTAGTCAAATGCCTGACAATCTGGCAAAAAGCTGGACATCTGGTCACCCTATCTGTGGACTCTGCGTGAATTTACAGAAAGGATTAGCAAAAGGAAAATAAGGTATTTGTATAGGGATAAGGAGATACAGAAAGACTTCACTTTCGACTCAGACTTGGAATTGAAGAGACAGCTATTTGTTAATTCTTTGTTAAGTTTGATTTTTGAAAAAGCTTTGGTTATATGAAAAATACAGATACACAGTTCTAGTTTTATTTTTATATTATTTTTAATAATTTCTATCCGTGTATATATTTAAACCAAAATGTTCCGTCACCACCACACACAAATAATGTAAATTTGAAAATTAATTTGATTTTACATTTTGAAAATTTCAAAACAACTTTTAAACTGTTTTTAAAAATGTTTTCGTTTTCATTGATTTGATTTGAATTAGTTTTGATTTTATTTTTAATTTGGTTTTGATTTCAGTGTAAAGGCCAGAGTTTCAATTATTATTTTAAATTTTAATTAATTTTTAGGTTTTATTTATTTTAGTATTAATTTATTTTTTGTTTTTATAATTATTTAATTTTTCCTGCATTTTTTGAATCTTTATTTACAATTTTTTAAATTAATTGGAACTCTTTTTTTTTATGGCATAACTATTGAAATTTTTTTAGTAATTTCATTAAATTTTGTTTTATAAATTTGTCTGCTTTCAAAAAAAATTTTTTTAATTCTAATTTTTAGCAATTTAACATTAATTGAACTACCGGGCTACCTAGTATATTTGACAGCCAGGTGGCCGAGCGGTCAGGTGGCAGCCTACTGCTCTGGGGACCTGGGATTGAATTCGGATGGAATCAGGTTGACAAATCCCCAGGAATTTTTTGGGGATGGTCTATCTGGATATGTCAGACTTCATCCCTCACTACTCGGTCACCTCATTGTGGGCCTGGTCAAACCCATAATGGACTTCCTAAAAAAATAAAAGAGGCCCACTTAGTGCCTACAGGGCAGAAAGAGTTAACAACAACCACCTAGTATAATTAATAGAATTATAAAATAAACAGAGAGTACTATAAAATTCTCATTACAAACAGATGTTTGAAGAGTGATCATGTGGACAAAGTATAAATTTGAAGCAAAACATTTTTAAGATTTAAAGTTTGAAATTTATTTTATGAATGATTTGTAAGTTTTCTATTGAATTATTACTATAAATCACACAAATGCATAAAATTTAAATAAACTAAACCTATTCATCTAGATTATTTTGACCGAATGTAATCAATACTAACATTGTATTGTAACATATTTTATATTTAATCTATATAATAATCAATATAATGGTATTACTGTTATATTGATTATTATATAGATTAATTTTGGTTATGCAAATTTTTGGTTTGCCTCGATATTACAGAATAATTTACGTACTTATGAATGCCAAATTTTGGTTATTTTTGGATATTGTAAAGTAAATGATATAGGAAGAAGCACTTACATTTTTATTTTATGGTGTACACTTACAAAATATTACTTTGGAATAAATACTCTAGAAATAGAAAATTATGTTACGTTTAATGTTCTTTCTTTAAATTTTATATCAAAGTTATTGCATTAATATGCATTATATATATAACAAAAATTGAGATGGAGTTCAGATTTTTCTGCTGTTTACTTCATATTAATGTTGTTAATATTTTTTTCCTTAATTAAGTAATACGTTAATAATTTGTACAAATAAATTATTTACAAATTATTAATGTATTACTTAATTAAGGAAATAAATATAACGCATAAACAAACATAAATCTATAACTAAGCTAATCATTGTTATAAGTTTCTTTCAGTAATTCATTGACCTAAATTAGTCATTATGTTTGCACATTGTAATGTGTTTACCTATAAACAAGAAATTCATTTGTACGTTTCTACATGAAATTTAAACAAATTAAAATGAAACATTTATTTATTATACTTGTAAAGCATTTTAATTTATCTATAAAAGTAATAAAATTTTAAAATTTTTTTGTGTAATATTAAAGCCAAACAGTTGCCAGTTATATCAGGCTATTTTATTGCTACTATTATTAATTAAATGCTAAATAATTTGGCAATCGTCCAGCTTTAATATATAATCATCAGGATTGGTTGTTTATATTTATATGTATAATGTATTGACGCAACAGACCGTCACAGAACTCGGAGAATATATGAGCTTCAGTTCTGGAAGACTAGAAAAAAAAATCTACCATCTGTGACAAAAATATAAATTAATTCATTTTATTACAATAAAATTGGTAATTAATTCATTCAAAGCAAATCAATAAAATCATAATTACATTTTGAAACAAAGCAGCAAACTTTACAAACCCTTTTTGAATTTGCTAATTCATTATCTGCTTTATAAATGAATTAGAACAAAATATAATTGAACATTTCATCATAAAAGTTTACAAAACTTACTGCTATCTCACTAAAGAAATGGTTGAAATAATTGCTTAGTTTGGTTAGCCAATACTTGTAACAAAACAAAGATTTTTCAACATTAGGTCGATCTGTATATTCTCTGTATATGTATATATATTGGAAGGTAGGAAGTACTATTGACAATGACAAATTTTTATACTTTAACGTATGCCAATTCAAATTATCCTTAATTTATTAATGAGTAAGAAAAAATTCTCATCGTTTGGTTCAAGTGGATATAAAAAATCAAGTGAACCTGTTGTGTGCAGTGTGTTTGTTTCTATCCATAATTTTTGTATTTTGGTATAAAATAAAAATACATATGTATCTTCAAAGAGGGTGGAAACTTGCTGGTGCAAAAATATTGAAGAGGTATGTCCCCCTCTATCTGTTATAGATTGATGCCCATGATTTTCGACCAAATATCCGACCATCCTCTGCTCGACACAGTTTAATTAACAGCCATTACACATAGGTAAATAACACATATGATACCCGATTAAACACTTGTTTGGCTTATTTCTTTATTATTATTGTTAAAATGAATAATAATCACAAATAATCAACTTTATTTACGTAATATTTTTATTCCATTAAACACTATCTTATATGACGTTTTTGTTCCTTTTTATACATAATATTTCCAAAAATAATAAAATTGAAGTGTTTAAAACAGCAATTTCTAATATGACTCTAATTTCTTTAAATTTTAAACTATGGATTAGGTTTCCGATATCTAAGTATACTTTATTATTTTATTTTTCAAATTTGAGATAGAATAAAATAATATTTACTTTATAAATTTGAAGTAAAGATAAAAACGATATATCTAAAAGTATGCGATTGTAAAATTTAAAAAATTTTACATTATCTTCTCTTCCTTATCACATTAACTGTACGTAAACTTATGCGATTATACTTTTGTTAAAATACACAGTTTCATTTGTCAGTTTTTTAATTCCCTAAATTAGAACCAAACCACATGTATAAATCAATCTGTAAAATAAATATTTATACTGCTTAATTCATCATTCCTTGTTTTAATTAATTTGTTGTTATTATTTTATGTTTTGTGTTTTAGTACATATTTTAATGGGGTTTGTTTGTACGTTGTATCAAGTGGTGCTGATTATTATTCTAATGACATTGCCTGTAAAAAATAAACAAATAAAATAATTTTTCCATAAATTGTCAAGCTCTTTAAGCATTATTTTGAGTTTAAGATGCACTTTTATTCCATGTTTCTTAAAGTTATTACTCTATAAAAGTTTGAATGTAATGAAAACTTTATAGTATTTGATATTTATTTTATACTTTCTGCTAATTACAATTTATTTCAGTTACATTATTGATATTTTTAATCTTTCATAAATTCTTTCAAACTATATTTATTTCTAATTATTATCCAATATTTTTCCTGAAAATTCCTACTTAAAAGTTGCATCTTAAACTTGAAATATTATGGCATTTCATGGAAAATTCTCAGTATCAGTGTTTAATATTTTGGTTTATATCAGTCAATAAATGATTGATATACATTCTTGAAAATATATTTACTATATTCAGTTTGCTCATTGAATTCCAATTATTTTTGACTTTTAAAAAGTTAATTACAATATATCTTAATTTTGTTTTTTTCTGTCTCTTTTCCACCCTGTGTGCACTAAAGGGCCTTTTTTTTCAGGCTAGTAGTGGGCTTAAGCTCACTATGGGCCTGAAAAAAGCCCATATGGCCCACTATGATGGGGTGACTGGATAATAAAGGATGGAACCCAACTTCTGGAACAGACTATCCATGAAAAATTCTTGGTGTTCTCTGCTGAATTTGATTCTGGAACCCCAGAATGGCCCAACCACCTTGGTCATCTGTTAGTGTTATATATATATATTATATATATATATATATATATACTATATGTCTTCTTCTCTATTCAAGCTTTGGAGATATATAAGGCTTTCNTATGTATAACACAGACCTTACTTTGATGAGCGATTTAAAGGATTTTTTCCGACATGAAAATTAAAATGAATTAGTGAATTAATTATTTTATATCATAAAATTATTTTAAAATAAAGCAGACTTAAGGATTTTTATAATGAAAATTAATAAAATATTATATTTTCCATTGCTTTTAAATGACAAGATTATTTATTATTCATAAAAATTATAATATGCTTAATTTAAAATGTTGAGAAGTTGTTTTTAAAGTTCGTTGTTTATAATTAATGAAATAAAGTTTAAAACTTTTTCTAGTAAACCTCAAATTGTTTTCATTTTTTCTACGTTATCTGTTTTTACTTTTTGACAATCATCTGGAACTATATTTAGATATTTGTATAGCTGATAATATTTCTCACTTGAAATAAATATAAATATGATAATTTTATCAAACTAAAATCAAACTTTGTTTGTTCGTTCATATGTGACAAAACAACGTGGCAATCTGCCAAGGGAGATGTGTCCTGGGAGGACTATCTATAAGAAACTGGCTCGTTTAGGTATTACAAACATGAATAAAACTTGGAAAACACCACGTGGCCAGCCTGTTGGTGGGGTGCAAACCCACAACCAACCACCAGTGTTCAGAGGTTTTATCCACTTGGCCACTGGTAGGCCAAACTTACTTTGAAACAGAATCGAAGAAATCGATACCAGTTTTTAAAAAATTCAAAAAATTTCTTAAATTAAAAAGCATATTAATTTTTACAGGTGAAAGAAATAGAGAAGAGGGATTCAAATTTGACACCGAAACAACAAATTGATCGCCTTCTTCGACCAGGTTCGACATATTTTAACTTAAATCCCTTTGAGGTATGAGTGTCTTTCTGATAAATATTTGCTGAGAAATAATTTTTCTGGAAAATTTAGAAAGCTGTTAAAATATTTTTTCCCATCAGGTTTTACAAGTAGAACCAGAATCTTCAATGGAAGAAGTCAAAAAACAATATCGGAAGGTACAGATAAATTATTCCTTATAACACATTTGAGTTTGTTACCAAATTAAAATTTATCAGTAATTATTATAATGAATTCTTATTTTTTAAGTTATCAATATTAGTTCATCCTGACAAGAATTGCAATGACAAAGATAGAGCACAAAAAGCCTTTGACAGTAATTAAATTTTGATTCTTATAACTTAGAGAATTTTGTTAGAAGATTTTAATATAATTGCATAAATATTTTTCAGTTATAAATAAAGCATATAAAATTTTAGAAAGTGAAGAACTTAAGAACAAAGCAATGGAAGTTGTGGAAGAAGCTAAAGCGAGAACAAATCAAATGGTAAATATAAGTATATATCCACAGTGGCCAAACTGTGGCTCTTCTACACTTTTACTGCATCTCCCACATACTTATACAATTTCTTTTTATGAACTTGGTATGTACAAAAATATTATATATGTGTAAATAGTAAGTTTTCTGACTATTATATAGTGTAATATACACAGATATTATAAGTTTAACTCACAACTTAACCTCAAACAAGCAGATGAAAGCTTAGTAGGGTACATTCATAATGTCAGAAGAGTTAAATGATTGTTTATCTAATCAGTTAGTCATAAAGTAACAGCGATAACTATAGTATTTTAACTATAAATAATATAAATAGATAATGCAGCTCTCCAATAGGCATTCCAATAGAGGATATGGACCTTTTGTATTTCTGATAGGCAGTGTATGGCTACTATCATAAGGTTTGGTACCCCTGGTATATATGATCACTAAATGTAATCTGATTTTATTAATTACACTTTAAACAGATTATCAAAGATTATATAAATGGATCATTTCAATAATTTTCAATGTATGAATAGAAATATTCTTAACAAATTAATAAATTTCAGATTGAAGAAAAAAGAAAGAAACAAAAGAAAGCTGGAAAGGAAAGCAAAATTGAGGAAGATGATCCTGCTAAAGTAAGATTTAGTTCAGAAATACTGTGATTTTTAAGTCAGTTATTTTTACAAGTCACTTTTGTTTTAGTACAAACATGCAGTATATGTTATGACAATGAAATTATTTGCCGATATGGAAAGGAAGCGAAGACAACAAGAAGATAGAGACATGGAAGAAAGGTATGACAAATTTTCAAGTTACAAATACAAAATTATTGTAACTTTTGTAAAACACACTACATGGGGTGGTTCAAGAAAAATGTTAATACTTTATAGATAAGGTGTGCAGTCAATACAATAAAATATTTAATAATTTGGCAAGAAAATTAAAGCTAGATTGATATATCCAACAGAACTTTATTAATTTTCTCTGCTTTACCCTCTCAAAATATACTATAAATCTTATTACGAAAACATCTGATTATGCTCTTGTCATCAAGATTATTGTATTGATTAATAATATAATCCTAATTTTGGATTACAATAATAATGGGTCCTATATTTATTTTTATTATCTATAATTTAAAAAATGTATTAGAAATTTTAATCTTTTTAATCAAATTTTTTTCTACTGGCTTAAATTTTTTTGAGTCCATCTTTATAAACCATACTTAGGATTATTAAAGAATATTCAAATTACAAAAAATTTAGCTGTATTACTGTAAAATGTAAAATATTCACATTTTATATGACATACTGTGACAATGTAGAAAATAAGAATATTTTTGCATTCCCTTCTCCATTCTTTACCATTATTGTTAAGTAATTTGCCTTTAAACATGATTGCCATCTCTCTTATCATTGTTTCTCAAATTGGATTCTGCAGAACCTTGAGATTCCACAAAGGAATTTTAGGAGTTTCTGCAAGAAAATGTTTAATAAAAAAATTTATTGGAGGTCCTAAATGTATTATACATATATATATATATATATATATGATATTTAACATTAATCATTCAGCCACTGTTAGTGGTGTGGACAATCTCTTATCTGTCTCACTCCAGAACTTTCTGAAAGATAAATAATTGCTGGTATTTCAAATTCTATTTATGATTCACTTTCTTTCTACTAATGAAATATACATTTATAAATTGAGGTATTTGAAATTTGTGGCTCAACTGGTAGAAGTTCCATAGGTTTTCTTACGTTAAAACAGGTTGGAATCACTGTTTTATATCATAAAGTTTTGACTTATTTTTTTAAATTTAATATATTTAGTTATTATCATCAATATCACACAAGTTCAGATAATTATAACCTATTTAATATTTTTTTTATTGATCTTAAATAGGGTCATCAAGTTTTATTTCTGGTATATAAAATTTTTTTTGTTTTCAGTTCATTTGACTCATCTTCAGCTATAACTTTAAACTCAGTTGAACATCTGGCTTAAAATATAATAATAATAGCTTAAATAGTTAATAACAGCATTAAACTGAATGTTATATTATATTTTAAATTATAATTTGAGTCGTGTCATATCATAAATAATAAACTAATTTTGAAAACTTTCATATTTTAGAATTAGTTTAATAAAACAGATTCAATACACTTGTCATTTCATTATATTATACTAATTAATTCTTAAGAGTTTATTCTGTTAAAAAATAAAACACTAACCTGTCTCTCTCTATAATCTTTATAATATTTTTACAACAACTTTTTGTATACTTTACCATTAATTTTACACTTTTGTTTAAAATCTGAATTGACTACAAATTTCAAAAATAATCTTACTTTTAAAGATATATTAAATAACTGTATTGATATGTACAGTACCTATTAACGACAGACAACATATGATTGAGGTACTACAAGATTATATTGGAGTTGAAAAATTTGTTGCTGCATATACCTTTCCTATGTTTAGATACATAAATACTTATCATTGTGTTACATTTAGCCATTACAAATAGTAGACTATACAATTATTATAGGTTTGTCTGTGTACACTTTGATATTCAGTTAACAATGAAGTCACTTAATGCATATTTTTTGGAATGTGTCTCCATCATTTAGCAGTACCTACCTGTATTATGTTTGTTTGTTAAGTTATGGCAACACAACACTTGGGCGATCTGCCAAGGGGAGATACCTTCTGGGAGGTCTTTTTAAGGGAAACTGGCCCTATTTAGACGTTACAGATGTGGAGAAAACCCACCACGTGGCCAGCCTGTCTGAGTGAGGCACAAACCCACGACCAAACTCCCAGTGTTCAGGGTATGAAGACTGCTTGGCCACTGGTGGGCCCCTAACTGTATTAACTAACTATACCAGGGGTGGCCAACAGTTTTTGCCCCCGGGCCGAATTGGAAAGAAAACTTTTTTCACGGGCCAAACCAGAGGTTGCCCTAGGAAGATTTTGAGGTGGTGCGAGATCTCATTATGGTGTCACCCTGTAGAGATTAAATTGTACATAGAGATTACAGATACATTTTTCACATTATCATGCTTTATCAACATTCTATGCTGTACTTAAGAGATTTGTAATGGAGGGTTAACTCTAACCGGACAGCGAGTTGTTGACCTTTTTTTAGGAATTAGAATTTTTCACTGATCTATTCTGACTTGAGTAGCTAATATTGAAAGATTAATCGCGGGCCGTATGTTGGCCATGCCTGAACTATACATTAACTTCACAAAAATTTAAAATAAATTTCTAAAAATTTAATCTCTTTTATTTTATTTACTTTAGACTTAAAAGCTTTTAATTTTTTTTTTTTTTTGAATTATACAGATTTGTATTAATTTTTAGTGTTTTTTACTGAAGTTAATGAAATGTTCTTTTTGAAAAAAATCTTTTTTCTTACACCAAATGAATTTTAAATATGTTTATTCATTTAATTATCATAAAATTTTTAAGCAATTTAAAGCTTATTATTAAATTTATTAAAAGCAAAGGAAATTTTAATTGAATAATCAATTCCAAAAAA